GGATTAAGTTCGAATCAAAGCAATGTACTGTGACTCCGTAAAATGCAGCTTGAAGAGATATATATAGAGAAAGAGGAGAAAAAACAGCGAGTGCTTTAAAAAATAATTAAACAATTAAGTTTAACAAGAGCACCATAATACAACTATTAACTGCCACCGAATGCATTTAAATTGCTTGCTTAGTGCGAAAAATGCGGGGGCGTTTTGGAGTATGCGGATCCAATAACCATCAGTGTCTGGCGAATGTCTGGGAGATGCCTTTGAAATTTGCTTTTCATATCGAAATAATTGTTATGCCCGAGAATAAAGTTTAAAGTGGAGAACAAGCCAAGGAAAAATGTAAAAAAAAAGGGAAAGGAGCCTCGCGGCGGGATGCAGTTCAATAAACTGCGAATAAAAAGGCAAAAGCATGCTTCAAGGCGCTTCTTGCTCGGAGAAAAATGAAATTGGAAATTGCATTTGTTTTTGGCTTTTGCCTTATACATAAAGCCCTCTTCTTGGCCAATCGAAGAAAGCCATTATGCCACAGCACATTGAACGCACGATAAATAACGAGGGACCCAAAGTCCAGTCTATGGCAACACAAGGGCCAAACACAATTTATTTGCAAATTGATATTTAAAGGTCAGAAGGATACTAACCGGCCAAGAGCAGCTTAGGGCCATCAAAAGCATTTGGCTAATGGCAAATGCAAAAGATGTAGAAGTACGTACATATATTGGAGGGCGGAGAAATTAAAATTTGTTTTTGGATCGCTTCCAGTGAAAGGAAAATTTTGCTTATGACAGGGGGACATCAAAAACTTGGCACAGGATATGACCAAGAGTTTGAGAGGGGGGCAAAAAGTTTCTTGAACTCGCCAAAAAGCGAACGCAGCTTATCAAAAAAACATTTCCACTGCGCCGCCTAATGAAGTTATAACCCAGACAAACCCTGACTAGATATGCAAAGCTCTTTCTTCCTCCTCCTTGCCCCTCTGTTATTATTTTTTGTGTACTTTTATTTCGCAATTGTGTCGCGCATTTGAATTAAGTGCAAATGACATGAGATTTTCAGGGGGAAAACAATGCGAATAGCAGCTGCCTCTTAGGAGTTGCAACCCCTCGACAAGCTTTTAAGCCACTTCACAGTTGTACTACAGAGTGCAGTGCGTCCCCCAGCTTTCCCCGTCGACTTTTCCCTTTGACTTGGCTCCTGGCACTCCTTTTGCTTGTTTTCCCTCCGTTTCGCTGCAGTTTTCATTGTCTGGCTTGGTACTTTTTGAATTTATTGAAATGTTTGTTTGTCTGCAATGCTCAAAGGTACAGAGAAAACAAAAAGGTTACAATCGTGTTTAATTAATTTAAAATTTGTAGGAATGTTTTTAAATTTGCATATTATTCTCTTTGAACCTTTCCCGAATTTCGGTTTTTGATCAAACATTTTTACGCCAAACATAATACGCGGCAGAGCGACCTTTCCAAAAAAATTCTCTTTTATTTTTATATATATAAAATCTTTTTTTGGTTAGAAATGAATATTTATATTTAGCTAAAGGTTTTTCCTTATATTTTCTCTGTGTAACTGTTGCCTGGCTGCATTGTTGCTGGCGTTTTTCACCGCCCTCTAATTTTCCACGCCTCCTGTTCATATTTCCTAGGATATCCTGCACAGCTGCGCCTGGCGGTATGCTATGTTTTTTCTTGTTGTTATTTGCTGCATTTGTTGTCGCAAAATATTATTACTCCATTTCATTTATAAAAGTGCTGCTGCCCCCTCTTCGGGATTTACCAACTGCAATTTCATTTCATTGTCAGTGTCTTGTGTTTTGTATTTGGTATTTTGTAGTTGTCTTGCTGGTTGGAGGAGACGCTGTTGTTTGCCATTGTTGCTGGCTTGTCATTGGCTTTAACTCCTAATCCACAGGTCACATCTGGCCCATTGATCAAAGTGTCTTTCTGGGGAGACAGCAAACTTATTCCGCTGCTTAAATTAAGCACCTAGCACCACGCCCACTTTGCCGCACACAGCCCACGAGGACTGTCAGTGCGGCCGATGACAATTTTCAAATTTATTCTGCCATTTCTTTTGTCTTTCGTGTGGCAAGGAACGCCTACGGTTCTTCGAATGCGGAAAAACCATTTAAAGCGCAGACAATTTTTCAATTTCCCCACACACACGCGATTGACAATTGAGAACAAACAGTTTTTCCGGGTTAATAAAATAGTTTTTCCTCGCAGTTACGCCCACGTTGACTAATGAGGAATTTTCCTGCTCTTTAAGCTGGTAGAAAAAGGTAACTGAAGCGATGGATGGGGAAATTGGAGGCTCACATGTTTGCTTACTGTCTGCACAAACACTCGGCGAAAACTCACAAAGCCAAATTGGAATATTAAACACTTTTATTAACTTGTGCATAAAGCTTAAAGAAGCCAAAAAAAGGTGGAGGTGGTGTGGCAGGAAAATTCTTGGGATGAAATATTTATGGCTGGCATTTTTAATGGATTAGTAGAAGTAGTAGCTCTCTCGACTTCCGTCAGCACTTAAGCCAAGAAATGCCATTTAATTTAATGTGTTTATGAAAAGCACAGCACTTTGAGGCCAAACTAAAGAGAATCGAATTCGAATTCAATTGAATTGTAGTAGTTTCTAAAGCCCATTGTCTTTTGGTCTCTGGGTTTTTGGGGTGTGGCGAGCGAAAACCTTTTTGATTTGTGGCCCCAGTGAGTTTGGGTGTTGATATTTATTATGGTCGAGAGGAAGTGCTGCCTGATTTATGCGTCCAAGGGAAGTGACAACTCAATGGCTTCATTAGTGTCCTCCGATAGAGTCCTGGATAAAGCCTTCAGTTCGAGAAAGTGTCGGGAGTTTATTGCACTTCGACTTTTGACTTCTGCCATGGGGCCATGGAAAGTTGTTGCGCTCACCAGAAGATAATCTCAAATTTTGGCAATAATAATTTCATGCTTATAATTTGTTCAAGTTCCCCGATGCGGTTTTGCCAAAACTTTGCACACGCGACTCTCATAAATTATGAAGAGGAGCGGAGGTCCTCAATCCTTTGGCCCCGTCTCGGAGTTCATTCTCTGTTTTTGGCCAACGACCGTCATCTCAGAAGAACTCAACTGAGCGCAGATGAAATTAGCAAATCGTCACGTAGCCAACATGAAGAGGGGAAATATTTATGGCTCCAACAGAGAAAAAAGCTAGGGATGCTATAAAGCAAGTCGATATTTGTTTAATGTTCAAATAAAATTTAAATATAGGTTTATGTGTGTGTATACTGTGCGTGTGTCGGCAGAGAGGCTGCAGATTAAAATATTTCTGTGAATTAATGATACAACGAAAGATTACCAATATAATGTTTAAAATTTATGTTATTACTTATAGTAAATGTAGGTGTATACTGTACGTGTGTCGGCAGAGATGCGGGAGTTCGAAAAACATCAGATACATAACGAAGAAAACGTTTTAAAATTACTTTATTAATTTTGAGGAATCAAAATACAATTTCATATAATGTCAACTATTTTTTCCTGTGTAGCGAAAACCTAGAGAAAAACTGCCAAATTTCAGGCCAAGGCTTGATGGAATGTGCGGTACATGTGCGTCTGCATGCTTTTTATTTCATTTTTTGGCCATGCAAAGAGCGGTTGAGAAGAAGAAAAAGATTATTGCTGCATTTGAGTTGCCTGTGCTATCTGGGCTATTGTTATTGTCCGTAATCCCAGACAAGCACCACTCACCCACAGATACGCACATTCTCCTTGAGCAATCAACTTAATTGCTTTAGCAACTCACCCCGAGATTCTGTGCCGGGATTCTTCTTTTGTTTAATGAGTGAAAATTGTGCCTCGTATCGCTTACTCGGGGAAATTCCCTTCCAATTTTCCCCTGCTCTTCTGCTTTTTCGGCATGCAAACATTCATTAATCGAATCCGTTGTTTTGCGAACAATGTTGGGAGTTGATTTTATTGTTGCCAAGATTTATGAGCTCTCGGGTCCCCCAAGAAGTTGGCAAACATACAAACATTGCAATGTGGGCCCCGTGCAAATATTAATTTGTTGATTATTTAGCTCGAGAGGCGGGACCGAGAGAACAGAGTGTCATCTCCGTTGGAACACAAAAGTTCTGGGTAAATATTGGCAAGAGTTGCCGAGGGGTTTCAAGCCATATTAAAAGTGCATTAAACCTGTCCCAGAAAGACATTCCTCGGCTGCAATTGATTGGTACTACGTGTCCTTTGCCTTAATTTCGATACATTCGAATGTCATTCTCTAGTAAATTATTCAACCTGGTCGGAACCCACCCCCCATCTCTATAAGTCGGAGTGCTGTTATTCCGTCTGGTCAGGTGCCGGACCATCGTCAATTACCCAAACAGAGTCACAAATATTCCCTCATCATGGGTTAGTTGGCTCTGATTGGCGGTGGCCCGAACTATTCCCACTTTAGTCATATATTCCGTGGATCCTTTCAACACCTTTTGGCTTTTTGACGGCTTTATTACCAGGTGGGAAAGGAAAATGTGCTGGTTTGAGTCCATCTGCCGGCTCGCCATATTGATTATCGATTTGGGAATTGGCCTGGACTGTTGTTTGGCTGACTGACTTAACTTGGCTATACACCTACATATACACCTGGCTGTCCTGTGTGCATTCAATTTGGGCAACGTGTTAGCCACTTTGGCTTAGACAACACGGAGCGGAGAGTTACCCGCTCTGTTTTCCCTGGCACGTTTGGATTTTATGGTTCATTTGTTGGCGCTTAGACGCTGGCTGGTTGCCTCGTTTAGTCCCTCGGCAGACATATATTGGAAATGTTCATTGGACCACCGGCTTCGAGTAGGAATACGGTGGTTTTAGGGTAAACGAACTTTATTTCGCTATTTTTGTTCACTACTTTATGTCTGCATATTATTTTTGGGACAAGATAGAGATGTGTTTTCTAAGATGATGCCTTTTAAAATATTTTAAATTGAAATACAAATATTTTTATTATTTTTCTATTATATTTTCCAGATCGAGGACGAGGGTAACCATGGCAACGATGAGACGCGCCTCTTCATCCTCTCCTCGCTGGCCCAGTCCCAGATGAGCCGGGTGGCCTGCATTTTGTGCGAGGAGCCGCTGCTCGTTTTCGATCGCTATCCCCTGGTCGATGGCTCCTTCTTCCTGAGTCCCAAGCAGCATTCCAGCGGCTGCATCGAGGTGAGTACCGATCTAGCAAATCTTTAACCCAAGTCCTATACTTGAAAAAAATTTGGATATATTTTATTATAATTTATAAGGATACAGTAGCACGAAAACAGATTTCCTATACCTAATTTTTATCAGAAAAATAAGACAAAATATTTATTAAATTAATTTAAATATTTTTCTGCGACTACCTTAGTTATAGTTTTCTTTCTGTGTACTCATCATTTATTAAACGTCAAATGTGGCATGGCAACCTCTTCCACACCCACGACCACGCAGCTTTCACTCGCCCACGTGCCCCCGAGAACTTTCAGCTGCAATTAGCGGGGCACACTACTCCATCTCCTCCGTTTCGAGTCGCCTCCGACCGCCAGCCACTCCTATTTTCCGTATTTTTTTCCCATTTTTTCTGGGGACAGACAGACCCCGCAATTTATGACCCATTTAAGTCAGCGTAATTACGCCAGCGCCCCAAAGAAGAGCCGGGGCAAAACTGCAGTTGGCAGTTTGCAGTTTGCAGTTTGCAGCTTGCACATTTTGCATTTCTCATATAGAGGTAGTACACGCACGACCTACGCTTCCATGGGCTTTATATTTTCCCCGATTTTCCTGCCTTTTCCCTAGCCGCCTGTCAGTCTCGCTATATCCCCCTTTTCCCCCGACTTCTGGGGGCTTTAAATTAAGCCTGGATTTATAATTCATTGCCAGCTGCTGCTGCTGCAATCGGAATTGGCTCCTTTGTATGTGCCTCTGCTCCCTTGACTTTGACTTCGGTACTGCGATTCCGCAGTCTTCTGTTCGTGGGCGGCCAACGGCAATCTCCTGGGCAAGTTTATGCATTTTGCATTTTATTTGAAATTATTATGTCGCGTCGCAATGGCAGCTCCTCCACTTTCTCCCCCTTTCCCTCCGAGTCCTTGGCCTTTTGTCGGGAGGCATGCAAGAATGCGCTCAATTCTCTGGGAAAAACCCCCTCGCTTCCTCGCCCTTTCACAGAAAGAGGAAAGTTGATACCCTAACAATAGAAGCCGTTTGCTAACTGGCGGTTTATTTGCCTTGCCAAGGCTTTGAAGGGTATTTAAATAGGAAAAAATAAATATAATTCCTTTGTAAGTTTGTTAGCAAAAAGAAAACTGCCTCACAAAAGGATCTTTGGTAGTCTGTTTGCCTACAGAGCGTTTTCAAGGATTACTCATTACTTTAGCGAGGGATTTTTTGAAAGTAATGCATAAGCCCCTTACATGTTTTCTATACATTTTGTACTTGTGCATTTTATTAAAATTGAACTCTTAGTTTTGATAGTCACAAGAAACCTATTATTATTTAACTATTTGAAATAAATTTTTTAAACATTATTCAGAGCCCTCAATGAAAACTAAGGTCTTAACTTTAATACCCAAAAGAAACCCAATTATTTATGCAAAGTCTTTTGGCTAACACAAAGGTATATCCTCAAATTTGGCATAGTGTGTTCAGGGGCTTAGAAGTCGCCCTTGCAATTCATTCTTTTTCCTGCCATAATTTTTCATTGTGGCGAGTGTCTGGTTTGGTGGCCCCTGGGCTCCTGCTTGAATTATGCGGCTGGGTCCTGCCCCTTTTTGTCCTTTTGTCTGCACCTTTTTCACCGCTTCCGCTTTCTCACAACCCTGACTCCAATCCTCTTTTTATTTTATTTCTGCAGGTTAAATACGAGGGACGCACTCTCTACTTGACCTGTGTTTGCATGAGCTGCCTGGACGGAACCTCCAGCAGCCGCGTCATCAACTGCAGGTGAGCATCATCAAAGGGAAAGGCTGTAATAAATGCATAAATAAATGATAAATTGTGTGTTTCTGCATCGTCCACAGATTCTGCAAGGAGCCTTGGGATGGCTCGAGCCTGGTTCTGGGTACCATGTACGCCTACGACATCTTTGCGGCCATGCCCTGCTGCTCCGAGAGGTTTAAGGTGAGTTAACAACCCATTACAACAACACATTACAATTTCACTAAATAACCCATGAAAAGACTGATTACCTGTCGACTGCAGTTGTATACTGTGCGTGTGACGGCATCTACACTATCTGCTATGTCTAAACCATAGAAATCTGCTGACAGCTGCATTAAAATAATCTAACCATAATTTTAATTTCACCTTAATTATTGATTATATAAAATTATATCCCTCTTTACCAACATATTTGCATGAAAATCGTTTTAATTTTTCCTATTCGCCATCTTTTTCTTGCCTTTCCAGTGCAATAACTGCTTCAAGATGCTGATGCATCCGCAGCAACGTCTGAGCTTCTACAGTGACTACTCGCACGGGGTGACCTGTCCGTACTGCAACACGCAGGACACGCACTTCGTGAAGCCGCTGAGCTTCTGCTACGCCAAGAGCCCGGCGGCGCGGCTGCCGACGCTCGCATAACATGAGGCCCCGTTGGAGTCGCCCGTGGGAACAGGTGCCACCGCCACCCAGGTGCCAAATGCCCAGGGCGCTCCAACGGCCTCCGGCTGCAGCAGCAACAACACCATCATCTCATCGAACTCGAACAAGCAGCAGCCAGCAAAGCAGCCGCTCTACAATGCCGCCATCGATTATTCGGCACCGCTGCAGCAGCAGATTAATCCGGACTTGATTGGAGCCCATCCGCATGCCCAGCAGCACCAGCAGCAGGTGCGACAGCAGCAGCAGCAACCGCAACAACAGCAGCAACAGCAGCAGCAGCAGCAACAACAGCAACAGCAGCAGCAGCAGCAGCCGACTCAACAGCAACATCAGCCTGCGGTTAGCTCATTTCAAAGGGCCAACTTCCCTCAGCAGTCCCATAAAACCATGAACATGATGGCCATGGCGGATGTGATGAGCAAGTACCAGCAGCAGCAGCAGCAACAGCAACAACAGCAGCAACAGCGCCAGCAGCAACACAACCAGCCGCCACAGCAGCAACATGCAACACAGAAAGGACTCGAGGGCCTTCTATTGACCAACAGCAACACAAACACAAACAACAGCATAAGCAGCAGCAGCAGTATTAGTAACTTAATCATTAGCCATAATTCAGCCAGCAATCCAGGCAGCAAGATGCAGCCCACTTGGGGCCAGAGCGATGCCATCTCGGCCCTGTGGGGCTGCTCCAGCAGCAGCAGCGGCTGCTCCTCGGGCAGTGGATCGCAGCCCTCGTTGAGTCCGACGGCCAGCAGTCATGGCAACGATGGCTCCAAGATGATGCTGTGGGCGGCGGCCCAGAGTTCCCCGCAAAATGCAGCGGCAGCAGCAGCAACACTCAGGGATGGATTCAAGGAGTTGCAACAGCAGCAGCAGCAGCACAATCAGCAGGTGCACCCCGCACATGCAGCCTCGCCCACAGCCTCGTTGACCAGCTCCAGTTCCTCCTCGAACGGCTGGAGTGCCTCGCACTATGGCAAGCCCAATATCTGGGAGCTGCCGGGATCAGGATCATCGGCTGGCCAGAGGACACCGGCCAGCAGCCACGACATCTTCACCGATCTCCTGTGCAACCTGAGCATCAGTCAGGATAATAACAGCAGCCAGCAGGCCAAAGTCGATGCCTCCGCCTCGGATGTCAGCTCGAACTCCTCCTCCTCCGCCGGGGAACTCCTGGAGGCGGCCAATATCTGGAGGTTTCCCGAGTACGCCAGTCAGCTGTACAACGAGGAGCCCACTGGAGGCGCCGCTGCCTGCATGCAGCTCTTCAACGACTATCTCAACATGAACTAAAAGCAAAGCCTGCAGCATTTGTTACTCTAGCTAAATTTATCAAACAAAAAAAAGAATAACGAAAAAGAGTAAGCAGGAGAAGGTGGAGAAGCGAAAGTTTTAGTTCTTAAAATCATTTGATTTTTTATACAATCACACATACATCTTAAAACCGAGAGAAAACAATGCAAACTAAAAACAATTTTCTTGTTATTTTTGTTGAGTTTTTTTAGTTCTTTGTTTACACACCTACCTAAACAAAAAAAGAAGAAGCAATTTTTAGTTTATTTTATAAAGCAAATTTTTATACATTTTACCAAAAAAAAAAACAAAGCGAAATGTAAAACAAAAAAAAAGGAAAACGAGGAAAGAGGGACAAAAAAAGAAACACATTTACATCACGATTGAGGGACAAGTTTTATTTAGCAAAATTGAAGGCAGGGCATTAAATTGTTTAAACAAATCATGATAATTGCTGTGCTGCTCAATAACACAAAAAGGATGAAAAGCAAAAAGGAGTAGAGTAGGAGAGTTTAAAAAAGAAGGGGAGAACATGAAACATTTGCTACAATTTATGAAACGTAAAATTACAAAACCTAAATTTAACAAAACAACATAAACGATAAGTTGCACATCTTTACCTAAGCGATTGGTATTATTCCTAGTTTTAGTAAGCGAAACGAGAACCTCTAGAGCCGATTAAGTTTCTCCCTCCAGTTCAGAACAGTTCAGTTAGGTCCTCAGAGTAATTCAACCCCTTAATAACCCGCCCACCCACTCACACACACACTCATAGCAGACAGGCGGCACATGCAACAAGGTCACCATTGTTAGCACCCCCTTTCAGGAGTATTTCAAGCAGACCACCCCCACCCACGCCCCCAAACTCTCTTAGTTAAGTCCTCAAAAAAAAGAAAATATAATAAACTACTTTCGGCGCAGCGTGATCATTAATTATTAAGCTAAGTGTTAGGTTATAGCGATCTTTGTATATGTCTAGGGTTCTTCTCTTTGTCTTAAATAGCAGAGCAGCCGTATGTGATGGATCTCTAAAGGTAGAGTGACGACCCCGCAGGTGCGACCAAACACACATGCAGGCACTCACTATCGATAGATTTAGTAGGTTGTAAGGTCGGTTTTTCTAAATTTTAAATATGGTATGCGAGCAAACATCCAACAATTTATAGAGCGGTTCAATGTTTCCTGTTTTGTGTTTATTCCGTGCTTAGAAAAGTCACCAAATCCCTGGGGTAAAATCCCTCCCAATCTCCTTGTTCCCATCCCCCTCAAAATTGTGAAAATGTTTAGGCAGCCTGAACTTTAAATGATTGGCATCCCCTATCTGTGAAATTTTTAATTCAATTGAAAATAAAAACCCACTTGATATGCTCCCTTCTGTGAAAAATAGTTTAGGACACCTTTTCTACACCTCCAATTTATATTCTCCCTTCCCCAACTTAAATTCTTTCAAAAACTCTGTGAAGATTTTAATAAAATTAAAAATAAAACCCACTTGATATGATCCCAACTGTGAAAGGACTTTAGGCAACCTAAACCTTAAAACCTAATTATATTTCTTTTTCAAAATTCTGTGAAAGTTTTAATGCAATTGAAAGTAAAACCCCACTTGATATGACCCCCATCTGTGACACCCAGTTTAACTCTCTGAATCTGTGTTAAATTTTCTGTTTTGGTTTTATTTATTTTCTAATTTTAATTTTCTGTGAAATTTTAATGAAATTAAAAATAAAACCTCTTTGATATGACACCATCTGTGAAAAGAAACGTTTAGGCCAGCTAAACGTTAAAGAAGATCAGCAGAAACTGTGTTAAATTTCCAAATTTTGAGTTCTTTTTTTCCCATTTTAAAATTGTGAGTAATTTTAATGAAATTAAAGTAAAACCTTTCCTGTGAGAAAATGTTTAGGCAGCCTAACTTAAAAACGGATCAGCAGGAACTGTGTTATAAAACCCCATTCCCCGAACCCTCGTGTTCGTTACGAACCCTAAAATGTAGACCCCGTAAGTTTCGTCAAATCATCTGTGAGCGGAGTGTCGGATCTTCTCCAAAACGTATTCCTTTTCGGAAAACATGTGTAAGCGAAAAGATTCGACACTTTTTAAAAACCTTCACTGTGAGTGTTCGAAAGGAACGAAATTTTTATGAAAAATTCTAAATCTACACCAAATTGTGACTAGGCATGGCCCAAAAAAAACTCCCATGTAAAAGTTGAGAACAAACATTTTCAGAAAATGTCTAAACCCAATCCCAAACCAAATTGCCTCCATTAGACAGCCAAACTGTGACAACCCCCAATTTGCTCATACCCCTGTGAAATTATCCTTCCAAAGGATTTCTAGTTTATCAGTTTATCTCTTTTGTTTCCGATTATTGTGGATAGTTTTTTCAGCAGTGTGATATTACTCGGATATATACTTCTGTGTTCGATCAAGGCATTGCCTGAAATTTTTTCAAAAGGAATTAAAAACCATCCTTAAATATCTGTGAATTACCCTTCCCAAAACCCCACAATAACCCCGATTTACCCCCTTTGGTGACTTTTGGTGAGGACCTGCTTGAAATACAAAAACCCTGGGGATCAGGAATGGGATCTTAAACTTGCATGTGCTGCAGTTTTTCCAGTAATCACAAATTGAGCGCCTCCTTTTGGGCATTTAGCATTGCCGCCATTTTACATACCAAATAATACACGTTAATTTAACGACAATTTTTTCAGAACGCATGAAGGGACAAACTGAGTGATAGTAAATTTTTTTGTATACAAAACCTACCAGTAACGAGACGACTTCGTTATGCCTACTTATATAGAACTACCGTTAAGTTTATAAGTACATACCCATATACCCTATAAACCTACACCTAACTAACCTAAACCTAAACCTAAACCTAAATTGATAGAAACTAACGACAAGCGACACTTTTTGGCATTTACTTGAGAGGATTATATATAGGTTTGGCACAGTTATATATAATTTTCGTCTAAATTTAAGGTTTTAATCTAATATACATGTACGCGCAGGAGGAAGGAGAGGAAGTGACTTATTTATAGGCAAACCCCACACAAAACATGACACACGACACACAGATACAGCATATAGTTATATAGATATTTAATTGAGTAACCTTTAGCCCTTACACTACACTACACTACAAATATATTGGTAATAAGTTCTACGCAAGCTAAGGCTGCCTTTTAAGGACAAAAGGCAGCAGCACCCGCACCACCAACTACTACGTAAGTCAGCCCGTGTTTTAGTTTGATTCAGTGTTTGTTTTAGTTAAATGTGCTAGGACGAAGCCTCGATGGCGTCCAGTCGAGAAATAAATGAAACACAAACTTATGCCCACCTCAGCCACCAAGAAGACGAAGGAGAGAATCGAATTATAGAGAGCCCTAAAACAGTAATAGTCAGACTTCCGATCACAACTAACTCTAATGAATCGTAACCCTAGACGGCAAAGGATAACATAGTAGGAGTCTTTAAGGAATGACGAAGAGATGGCGTTTGAGCGAGAGTAAAACACATTAAAATGTAATTTATATTACCTCCTTAGCAAAAATCAATAACAAATAACGAATAACAAATAACAAATAACAATGTTTTCTAAATGCATATTAAACTATGATAAATCAAGGCAAAGTAAAACAAAATATGTACGTTTAAATCAAGTAATCAATTTATAAACAATTAAAAGCAGTTTTTGTTTAGTTCATAATTTCTACTCAATAAAAACACACTTATATTTTATGTTAAACGAATGAAATATTTGCGCGCCTTTACCCCTTTTTTCGATCTTTTGACGATCTTCAGTTACTGGAACATGCCAAAACCCGTGTAGCAGCAGCAAAATGTTTAAACTTTAACCGAAATTCTTAAAAACCAATTTTTGATGGCTCCCTCCGAGCTTTCTCAGATCATCTGATGACGAAATGTACAAATTGGTGAAGTTTAGGCACTTTCAACCGCGATCCTCCTCCGATTCCCCGGCCAAGGCAATATAGCGCAGCAGATATTTCCGGAATTATACTCCCAAAAAAGGAACCCACTCTGTAATCCCCCAACCCATCCACCAAATTTATAGATTGATTTTATTGCTACCCGAATGTAATTTTTGTTTAATTAAATATACACACTTAGCACACTTTTGTTTATGCCTAATTCATAATGTGTAATATATGTATACTTTGTACCTTTTTATGTTATACACAAATCCTTATGATCCCGATCCCGATCCCCACAAGGAATCAATCCCTCGCCCAGTGTTTAAGCCCCTCTCCCCCTACGCTCCTCCTCTCCTACACATTTTGGCAATTCAACTTGAATGTCTACTTTTAATGTAATTTAGTTGAATATTTTAGTTGATTTTTATTATTATTATTCGTACTCCGTATGGAAAACTAAATAAATTTAATTGTATTTCAATAAAAAACGAAAAAGGACAAAAATTACATTACTTTCTGCTATTATTATTACTACAATTAATATTGAATTTTTGTTGAATTTTCAAATGATTAAATGAAATATTTTTAATAATTTGTCTTTTGTTTTATTTCCCCCCACATTTTATTTGGTACCCTGTATTTTTTCGGTTGCAACTGCATTGATAACGAAGATAAAAAATGCCGGACGACAAACTGCCGACTAGAAGGAGCAGAAGAACCTTTACCGAAATGTATTGCTTAGCATCTGGTAGGAAACTACCCAACGACTTTGGTTCCCGATCCAGTTTCCTCCGATCGCGACTTAGTTTAGCAGCTACCTCAGTTTAGTCACATCGATAGAGTCTTAAAGTACATATTTTACTCGACGTAGGAACATGTTAATCGCAGCTTTTAAATCAGAAGATATAGCTTAGAACACCCCGAGTTGTATGTGGAGTATGCAACGACTTATTTAGTTCCCCCAGCCTAGTCCCCCGATTTTGGATTATACCCTTTCCGTTCCTTAGCTAACTTGCTTACTGAGTTACCTGCGTCCCCTGATGCACTAAATCAATTTCTTAGTTGAATTTTGAGTTGAAAGCGCAGAAAGCTGAGATGAGAAAGATGATGGTCAATGTTGTAGTCGAATTTTTGTTCACGTTTGTTCTCGTTAAGTTGAAGATTTCATGCCAAAGTACAAACCTTAAATCAATTCTTCGTAATTCCTAAATACCTATCGTAATACCTATCCCAGGTC